GAGCTTCGTGAGGTATAGTTTTATGTGTAGTAATGAATTGCCGCTGTGTAATTTATACATGTTTGTGTTTGGCTCAGTATTATTTTAACCGTAAAACTTTATTCAGGTGATTGAACTTCCTTTAATGAACCCAGAGCTTTTCCTTCGTGTGGGCATTAAGCCGCCGAAAGGCGTACTCTTGTATGGTCCGCCGGGTACTGGCAAGACACTTTTGGCTCGTGCTGTAGCAAGTACTTTGGAAACGAACTTTTTAAAGGTTGTTTCCAGCGCAATCGTGGACAAATATATTGGCGAAAGTGCAAGGTTAATTCGCGAGATGTTTGGATATGCCAAAGATCATGAACCTTGTATTATTTTTATGGACGAGATTGATGCTATTGGCGGAAGGCGCTTCTCAGAAGGAACTAGCGCTGACAGAGAAATTCAAAGAACTCTGATGGAGGTTTGTCCATTAGATGTGATAAAAGCCTGACGTTGATTTGGCAGTACCAAGCTCAATATTTGTCATTCAAACTATATTTGAAATTGATCGCTTTGCTTTAGCTGCTTAATCAAATGGACGGCGTCGATTATCTCGGCCAGACCAAACTAATTATGGCCACTAATCGACCTGATACACTTGATCCTGCATTGTTGCGACCAGGTCGGTTAGATCGTAAGATCGAAATTCCATTGCCTAATGAACAAGGACGGCTGGAAATTTTAAAGATTCATGCAGCACCTATCACAAAGCACGGCGAAATAGGTAAGTTTGATGTTCGGGAGATAATGGTTGGTTTCCGTTAAATGTCCAATATTTCATCTTACAACAATTTCTTTATAGATTATGAGGCTATTGTAAAATTATCGGACGGTTTCAATGGTGCTGATCTACGGAACGTGTGTACAGAAGCAGGTAATGTGAATATAATAAAAGAAATACCCAAACTAAAAGAAACATGCTTACATTTATTTTTTGTGTGTATTAGGTATGTTCGCAATTCGCGAAGAGCGCGATTTTGTAGAACAAGAAGATTTTATGAAAGCGGTCAGAAAAGTTGGCGATACAAAAAAACTGGAATCCAAGTTGGATTACGAGAAGCTATAGACATTTTCATTAAACATCAAATAAAAGTTCTATATATTGGATAATGGCAAGGGAGAATGGCAATGGTATAATGATGCTTTCATATTAAACGATTTTATTCTTCTGTCAATCTATTAAATTTACAGCCTATATATTATATATCCTGTATAATGTTGAAGGTTTCTCAGCTCTTTATTTCGTATGGAATTGTGAAACATAGTTGAGAAGCCGAGTATAACTTCACTTCGTAGCCGCTGCACCTTCTTGATAGTCGAGTTAATGAGCACGATCACGTCTCCATCTCCTCAACACATACGCACACGCACGAGCACACGCACACACGCACACACCCCTCTTTAATGAAAAGAAAAATTATAACATGACTACACTTTGGGTTTTTTAACTGTTACCTCCTCTTTGTCTCCCTGAAAAATAACTTTCGTTAATATAACGCATGGTTTATTAAAACATGAACAATAAGAATTTTTAACATACCTCTACTTTTCGCTTTTGAACATTTCCTGTACCAAACTTTTCGGCGCGTCTGCGTCGTTTTTCTTCTTCGATTGGATCAACCGATGTCGATTTTTTCCCATTTGTCTTGTTATTTATACTTGATGATTCTCCTCTTGGTTGAAGGCCAAATTTCTCCGCTCGTCTTTTCAACTTTTCTTTGTCCTCGGCAGAAAGTTTCTAAGATATAAAATAAGAAAAATAACAAACGACCAAACATAGACGTAAGAATAGTGACGAGGGGTTACAGAGCATGAAAAGTTTTCAATTGCTTGTTAAACTGGCGCAGAAAAGAACATGTCGAAAACTTGGATATCGTACAGGTCTTGGTTGACTTCGCACATTTCTGGAAGAGAATGACCGACCTAAGGAGACATGTATACGAGTTACATATAGCTGAATTATGACGCGCCAATTGCAAGGCGTGGATCAAAAGTATTGGAATTACGTACCTCTAGATGCATCTTGTGAATGATATGAAGTAGAACGGCCTGGATTCCTTTGCGCAGGCTTCTCCGAATCTTTAGATATTGGTCCGAATTTTTGTTCACGCTTACGCCGCTTCTCTTCTTCAGTCAAAAGAACTGCTGCCTTAACAGGATTGTCATCGAATGTGATCTTTTTACATCTAAATCCGCTTGCCGTCACTACAAACTCCTCTTGGGGTACTAACTCTCCAGATTCTGCGGTAGAAGTTGCTGATTCTTCCGTATCAGCTTTGGACACAGGGACGGATGACTGACTTTCTGAAGTACTTTTATCTGAAATCTGGTTCTTGTCTTTAGAGTCATTATCTTTTTTTGATTCTATTTTCTTTGACGTGTCCTTTGAATCAGCCGCAGCCGACTTTGGTGAAAGAGATACGAAATCGAGGTCACCCTCTTTTCCGAGTATATCCCTAAATAGAGAAATATTCGAAATTAGCATAGTCCCCAAATTGATAGCCGATGGCATAGATTCAATGGTAGTAGATATTATTTTGAACATTAAATCTGTTCGATGTACGCAATTGAGAACAGATTTGACCATGTTCAGGAACAGACGTACGATATAGACAAATCCCAATCATAGTTTTCGTCAAGGCCAGGCGAAGCAATGTCGTCCAGCCTGAAGTCGTCATCGTTTGGGGAGTGGTGCTCCTTTGCCGTTGAGTGGACGTCGTTGGTAATGACATTGTTCGTCGGGACGTGGCTTGGTTTTATTGATGATTTGAGATCAGAGACGTGGTCAGCCGTCTCGTTGGCTTCTTCAATCGAGATAGAGTTACGCTGCTTGTTCTGCTCAAAGGCAATGATCCGAGCCACTAGCTCTTCTTTCTTTCCAGTTATGGTAAGCCCCCTCTTGCTGAGTAGATCTTTAAGTTCTGGCACCTTCAACACACGTAGCTTAGCTTCGGTCAACTCGATTGCTTCAGACATTCTGACTATTATGAAAAGGATACTAATACGTTATGTTATTATTATAGCTGCACAAAAATCAAGTATAACGCCACAGATGTCAACAATGTTTAAACGCCACAGTTTGTCCTACTCATATAAACACTTGATATTGAGGCGTCTTTATCCCTTTATAAATTATTTCGCTAAATATTACGCAGATAATCAAACCAGCTTCCTAGAGCATTCGAGATTAATTTCGACGCGTCCTTTAAAGTATTTATGTCGTTCTCAACTGCTTCTGGTGAAATGGGTTTATTGTAGACGATAAATTTACTACTGACCGTAGCATTTTATTAAATAAACCACTTGTTATGGTCACTTACGACATTACAACATTACAATATCGGAACATAGCCTTCAACGATAAAATCTAGTCTAACACGACACTATTTCCATTCCCTCCAGCGTATTATTAGTATAAACTATTGCTATCTCTACATTATTTAACAAGAATGCAAGTATGGGAGAGTTTTGCGCCTTATATTCTGTCAGATCGCTTTGCGGGACGAGTTGCAACACTATATAGAGTATATGGCGCTCATGGGAGTATCGATCGCGCGTCAGTAATAGAATACCGGTTTTATGCGACGAGTAAAAAGCCATTTCGATCTTTTAAATTTGTTGCAATCCCACAAGTCTTATCCGATCAAGCTTTGGTAAACACAATTGTGCAATTGTTTCAACCCCAAGCCTGAGGTCAGAATATGTAGTTGCTTTTAATGTCTCGTCTTGTATGCGTGCAGTTTTTTACTATACAACAAAGTTTATTTTGCAACCCCTCCTCATTCTAAGGTTCTTCCTCCATAATTACACAATTACTGTTTGTCTGGACCTGGACTTTATTTTGTCTTCTCTTTGTTCAAACTTTTAAACGTATAAACTTTTCGTTGTTGAAGTTTTTATGCGTCAGTTCTATAAACTGATTAAAACCCAACTCTTTTAGAACTGGACTGTAAGAGGTCATTTTTAGCAATAAATTAATCAGGTAACTTTCGAAGTGAGTAACAAACAATATTAGTAAGAAAAGACTGTGGTACTATTTTCACCAAAATGCTGATACAATCCCTGCGTTGTAAGACGACGCGCGACAAGAACAATATGAGTATTAGAGTTTATTATACTCACTGGCCAAAAGTATTAACGAAATCTATAAATTTGTATTTATTGGAATTATACTATTCGAAAATCAACAACACTGAATATTAGTCTACTATCGTTATAAAGCTTGTTTTCTGAAAATTACAGTCAATTAGTATTAGCTTCAGAATGGTACAAATTTGATGGTTGTTTGATTAGATTTTCGAAAAATTGGATTTTTTTCATATGTTTTACTATTGATCGGCAAATACTTACGTATTCATGTGATTTTACTGCGGATATATTAAATTGATTCCACGTGATGTGTATTCTTTTGTTTACGTTTCTAGGGCGGCTTTTATCTACACTACCCCATGCGTAGAGTCGTTAGCAAGCCAATTTGTGTGGATCGTGACATGGAAAACGTTTTTAACTAGCATCGCCCGCTAACTAACAATAAGTAGATAGAATACCTCTGTAGTATATATGCCCACAATGGACAAAGGTCCGGTCCAAGCTTATGCAAAATTAGAAAGCGAAAGCTTCTGCTATTATATAAGAACCCTCCAGGTCATGTTGGGCCGTAAGGCTAGTTCTTCTGATCAAGTCGATATACATCTAGGTCCAACTAAAGCTATTTCGCGTCAACACGCGCGACTTTCTTATAATTTTGCCACCCAACGCTTTGAATTAATGATATTTGGAAAGAACGGTGCCTTTGTCAATGAGCAGTTCGTTGAGAAAGGAGAAGTCGTCCCACTAGAGAACAGGTATGTCTCGTAGTTATGTATTTGCGTGTGTAACGACCAAAGTGACTTTATTTTACTATGGCTGCAACTAAAGTCTATAAATGACGCGTCATATGTCACTATATTTAACTATTTGGGTATGACACGTTCAAGTACCCCGTTTGTATTTTTAATGAAATGTATCTTCATTACATTATTCATTTATACATGTAACCATATGTAAATCGCTGTCATTAGAATCGTTCTCATCATTAAATAACGTCAACACACTCATATGAATAATCTTATTTTAGGACCAAGATTCAAATAGGAGAAGTACGATTTTCTTTCTTGCTCCCTCGAATGGATACTGACATTGACTCTACGGACAATGGAATGTATTCTTACAAAAATTACGAATGTGAAGATACTGAAGATGCTAGCATTGATGATGACATGAATGTAGATGAAACTAGTTTAACTGATGAAGAATCAAGAATCAAACGACAACAACCTAATGTTATCACAAGATCAAAGGCAAGGAATGAGCCCAATGACGCAAGAGATCCGTCATCTGAAAGGGTAGCTTCATCAATCAATCAATCAGAGATTTTCAAATGTCAGTCGCGCACAGTGAAACCCCCTCTATCGTATGCCGCTTTAATAGCACAGGCTATCAATGCTGCACCACATAGAAAGCTCACATTGAATGGAATCTACACTTACATTACCAATGAATACCCATATTATCGTATCGCACAGAATGGTTGGCAGGTATGTGAATTGGCAATCCCATTTTAATTACGTTAATCCACGCTTACGAAATTCTTGCATTGAATTGTAGAACTCTATTCGCCACAACCTATCTTTAAACAAAGCATTCATGAAAGTACCAAGAAAAGTTAATGAACCTGGAAAAGGAGCTTTTTGGACAATCGATCCTAATAATGAGGGCCAGTTATGCAATGGTGCTTACAAGAAAAAACGATCAGCTAATAGAAAAAGACCAAGTTCAACAGTGTCATATGTAAAGTCTCCTCGTACAAAGTTAACGAACGTAACAATAGAACGCTGTTCTCGATTCTTGAATGGAACGCCTCCACTTTCGCGTGAATCAACTATTACCGAATCTACATCTGTGTCTTTGCCTCCTGATGATGTTAATTCAGAATCATCTACAGAAATGTCTGTGTCAAATTCTACTTCAACGACACCATCATGTTTACCGTCAAGAAGTGACCAACCAAGTGGTCTGTCCGATGTCACTTCTGATATACCGGATATGGTCACGGAATCGGGCTCGTCCGTTCAATTACTCGGAAATACGCATGGTCCAGCTTACATTGCTCCGCCTGACAGAGTTCCAAGTATAACTAATGGTAGTACTCGTGGTGAGCTTGCAACGAATCAGAAAATGCCTTCAAATTTGTTTAATTCTCATAACACTTCGGTAAACGGTACCAACATGACAACTGCCGAGTTAGTGGCTGCTCATCTTTCACAATTGACGGGGCAACCAGTCTCTTCTGCTATAATACAGTTGTCATCTAATCGATTAACTCCTACTCAACTACAACAACTTTCAACTGCACCACTTGTTCGAAGACCGAACGAGTTAATCTTTAAGTTCGAAAACCCAGGTTCTGATCAACAGAGCATACCGAATTCATCAACACGCAGATACAATAAACCAAATGAAAAAATGAATTTGGCGAACACAGCAACTGTTACATCGAACATACAAATTACTCCTTCGACATCATCCGTTTTTATAAACTGTCATCAAAGGTAAATGAAGTAAAGGTTCGTTATCCTGTTTTAAAAATAACATTCATAGTAGCAGCTGTCTGCTGATCTGTCTATAGACGTCAATGGTTACTATAAACGAGATAGCGTTGCAAATCCTTAAACTAATTCCTTTTTAGAAAATGCTTTACACATGCATTCTCCAATCGTAGGGTCGCCGATTGATTGGCGACTTGGATGGCATTCATATATTGGGAAATAGAATTGGTTGATGAATAGTCTACTGCGATTGCGAGAATTCATGTTGGGATCGATCATTGTTTTTTGCTCTAACTCTATTTCGTATTACAATTATTAACCTCCTTTTTAGTGACAATTACTTTTACCGTTTAATAAAGCTGTATATCAGTCACTTAATTGAGGTGATCAAATAAGGCACGCGTACCTCAATCACGTGGTATGACATCACTAACAAGTCGAATTAATTTGGCAACACCCCTGAGAGTACAAACCATTTATGGGATCACTTTATGTAGCCCGCATTCTCATGTTCTTTTCCCTTGCGCCAGCTTTCTCGTGGTTAACTCAGGGACTCACAGACTAATGGATACCCCACCCACATACTTTGAAATACTGAACGATCTCAATCGGGAGGTCACTCAGGCTCAACCTAAAGATGTGTATCAATTTTGTGCCAACTATTTCAATAGAAAACTTGAGGAACAAAGAGTTAAACTTCTAGCAAATGGTATGTCCGCAAACATATTCTGATTTGGCTTTCTTGGGCTAAAGTAATTAGCACCAAGCCCGCCTCGTCGTTTTACTTGAGGGAAAATAGGAATTAGGAAATATTTCAGAGATCGCCAATTATTAATATGCCTATTTTGACAACAAAAAGGCCAACAGAATATGCAGTTCGCCCAGCCTCCAGGCATACCTGACTTCTACTCTTCTAAAGCCTCTACGGCGAGTACGCCAACAACGGATTACTATGCAGACAGTGACGAAGAGATGTATGATGAAGAACCCGGTGATTTACCTATAATTCCAATAACTTATAATCGTGGTCGTCGCACATCTGTAAGCGCAGAATCGATGGCCCCAAGTCAAGACAAAGACTACATTAAAGTAGTCATTCCCAAGACAGAACAACAACGACAGCGAATAGAGGCGTCGATCGCCAATAATTTTTTATTTAAAAATTTAGATGAAGAGCAGTATAAAGACGTAATTGATGCAATGGTTGAGAAAAGAGTTATTCAAGGCGAAGAAGTGATCAAGCAAGGTGGCATCGGTGATTACTTCTACGTTGTTGAAACCGGCACCTTCGATGTCTATGTCTCAAAGAACGGTGCCCCTCCTGAAAGAGTCAACGAATATGGTCCAGGTGGGAGTTTCGGTGAGTTAGCATTGATGTACAATGCACCA